TTTTTAGTAAAGATGGGGTTTCGCCATGTTGGCCAGACTGGTCTTGAACTCCTGGCCTCAGGTGATCTGCCCACCTTGACCTCCTAAGATGCTGACATTATAGGCCTGAGCCACTGCACCCTGCCCTCATCTCTCACTTTGAATGAAGAGTGTCTACACCTGCAGGGTGCACATAAAATATCCATGCTTCATGCTTTACCAGTTTTGTTACCCAGTTAATAAGTTCAGACATTCAGAGATGTTTAGGTTGATCACGTGAGTTGTTTACAATTTCTGCCAGCATCTTTTGTAACTTTCTTAAAAAGCAGTTTCATATGGAGGTTTTTGAAATGTCTTTGTCTGATCCCCACATGGTTGAGGAGTTAAGGGCATGTGTTGTATCCTAAACATGGATCATATAATACAAACCAATCTGAAGTTAAGTTTTTTTTTCAATGAAAAGTTAATGTCCTCATTGTGGAAAATTTGATACATTTTGAGAAGAATACAGAAGAAAAAGTCAACCATAATTCCACCATGTATAGATAATCACTGTTTAGGATTTAAAAAGATATCTCCTCCTAGTTTTATTTTCTATACATCTTTTTACAGTGTTGAAGTTTATGTATACACATGTGTACCTTTGTTTTTATACTAGGACTTCTTAGGAAGTTTTATTTTCTGTACATCTTTTTACAGTGTTGAAGTTTATGTAGACACTTTCGTACCTTTGTTTTTATATTAGGGCTTCTTAAAAGTGGCACTCCGGAATTTTAGGTGGGGTGATTCCTTGTCATGGGGGTGGGGAGCTGTCCCGTTTATATTAGGATGCTCAGCAGCATCTCTGGCCTCTGCTCACTAGATGCTAGCAGCACCTCCTGTTCTGTGAAAGGGCTGTGTATTCAAAATGACCCCCAAACACTCACAAAGCTGAGAAACCAATAAATGTGGCAGACAAATCCAGTTTGTCAGTAGAGGGTGATTTTCTGGATAGAAACATAGTTCGGGGCAGCAGTGAGACAGGGAAAGTCCTGCACTGTTACTCCCAGACCCAGGGCTAATCTACCGTAGTGAAAGGGTGTACGTGCTCTGTGCAGGACAATTGAAGGCAACCTCCCTAGAATATGGAAGAATGGTGTGTGTCACAGCCTGTCATTTGTGTAATAGCATCAAGGTTGCTTAGCTCTCAAGGTAGGATTTACAGTAAGTGCATGTTCTTACACTAGGGACTGTAACTACAGTAGGAATCAGGAGGCATTCCTGGGACCAGGGTTGAGCAGAAGTCAACATGGTAGATTAGCATCCAAGATGGAGTCACTTTGGTCTCCACCTCCGCTCCAAGTTGTGACAACCAAAAATGTCTCCAGATATTGCCAAATGTCTTGTAGGGGAGCTAAAATTACCCCAGGTTGAGAAGTGCTATTTTATATTTAGTTTTATGACATAAGTACTTCTTCCATGTTATTACAGATTTTTCAGCATCATTTTTAGTGGCCATGTAATATTCCGTGGTGTATCTCATCTTCAGTCTTACACTGAGAAGCGTGACATTGGCTGTCTTTAGTACAAAGAGCTTTGCAAAATCATTCTGTGACTAGGCAGGTATCATATTCCATAATTCACTGGTCGGAATATTTTTTAAATTGTGATAAAAATACATAAAATATGCCAGCTTAACCATTTTTAGATGTACAGTTCAGTCGTGGTAGGAATGCTCACGTTGTACAACAACCCTCCATAACCAGTGTATTTACTAGTGAATGCACTGGGTAATGACTTGTTTTTTATTTTTACTTTCTGGTTCTTTTTGTTATTTTTAAATTAACCATCATCTATGTGATGGAATGTTTTTATTTTTATTTTATTTTTAATAAATAGCTTTACCTTGAAGATATGCTTGTTTTTGTTAAAGAATATGAGAGTTAGTTTTTAAAAAAGTGTTGCAAACTGTTGCAAACATTAAGTGAATATACTAGAAATTAAGTTCACACTTTATACTCTTTTTTTGAGACAGTCTTACTCTGTCCCCCAGGTTGACGTGCAGTGGCGCAATCTCGGCTCACTGCAGCCTCTGCCTCCTGGGTTCAAGTGATTCTCATGCCCCCGCCTTATATAATACATTTTCTTTATATAATACATTTTCATAAAATATTTTGTGTACTATTTTAGATCCCACTGTTTGGAATCATGTCATCAGATTCTGCAGATCCTTTCTACTGGATGAGAGTTATTCTGGCTTCCAATAGAGGTATGCATGTCTTCTCTTTTTGCCTCCATGCTCCTACTCAGTAAATAGATGTAAACGTGGATTAGCAATGATTTTTCAGTGTCTACAGGGAGGGGGAGAAGATCACTGCCTAGAAAAGCCTAGCATGTAAATAATGACAACACCGTGTAATGACTGTAATCATAGAGAAATCTTTCCTTGGGTTTTCACGGGCTAGAAAACCCTGATCTTCAGTGTCAAAGAAGGTGACGTCCAGATAACATTGGAATCGGAGTCCATGTGGGGTGTGGTGGCTCGCACCTGTAATCCCAGCATTTTGGGAGTCTAAGGTAGGCGGATCACCTGAGGTCAGGAGTTTGAAACCAGCCTGGCCAACATGGTGAAACCCCCGTCAATACTAAAAATAGAAAAATTAGCCAAGCGTGGTGGTGTGCACCTGTAATCCCAGCTGCTCTGAGCAAGGGGCGGTGAGGCCAGACAATCGCTTGAACCTGGGAGGTGGAGGTTGCAGTGAGCTGAGATTGAGCCACTGGACTCCAGCCTGGGTAACAGAGTGACACTCTGTCTCCCCAAAATAAAAGGAGTCCAGTGCATGAAGCAGTGGGGAACTCAGCTGGAGCTGAACCTGAAGCCTCAAACAGCATGGTTGGTCTGGGAAATCGTGGCTGGGGATGCTGGACAGTGAGACTAGCAAGAGGGTACGGCTAGTCATGAGGTTTCTTGCATTTAGGAACACTGGTTGCCTCTTTTTTGAAACACTTTTTTTAAGTAATCCTCCCACTTCAGCCTCCTGAGTAGCTGGGACGACAGGCGCATGCCACAATGCCTGGCCAATTTTTGTAGTTTTGTGGAGTTAGGGTTTTGCCATGTTGCTCAGGCTGGTCTTGAACTCCTGGGTTCATGCCATCCTCCCTCTTCGGCCTTCCAAAATGCTAGGATTACAGGTGTGAGCCACTGCACTCAGTCTGGAAGCACTTTAAATAGCTGGCAGATATTTTTTTTTTATGTTTTTAGGTTATAAAAGTAATATTGGTTTATTATTTTTAAAATGTGCCAGCAATTTTTAAACAGATTTATATGAAGCTGAAAAGAAAAGTGTCACTTCTGAGGGGAGCTCTGAAGTTGGTAGATTGGTGACTATCCATTTAGGTCTTTTCTTTGCACATACATTCACATATATCTATATTTTTCTTATAACTAAAAACTAAGATGTCCTGTGTATACTATTCTGCTACTTTGTTTACTTAATATCTTACATGAGCTACTAATGGCCATGTTACTATTCCATTATAAGGGTATGCCATGATTTATTTGATCATTCGTTTAACAAATATTTATTGAGTTTGTACTGGATGTCAGCCTTTGTGCTAGGTACGGAGCTTAGAGCAGTGAACAAGACAATGTCCCAATTGTCATGGACTTGATATTTTCTGTTTGGGGAGGTACATTGGGTGGGGAAGGTGCTCTAGGAAGGTGATCTTTGAAGACAACTGCAGGAAGTGAGAGAGGAGGCCACATGAAGACTTAGGGAGGCACATTCTAGGGAAGAGCCAGTGCAAAGGCCCTGAGGTGAGTGTATGCTTGATGTGTTCAAAGAACACTAAGATGGGGGCCGGGCATGGAGGCTCATGCCTGTAGTCTCAACACTTTGGGAGGCTGAAGCAGGCAGATCACTTGAGGTCAGGAGTCTCAGACCAGCCTGGGCAACAAAGTGAGACCCCTAGTTCTACAAAAAACACAAAAATTAGCCAGGCGTGGTAGTGTGTACCTGTGGTTCCAGCTACTTGGGAGGCTGAGGTGGGAGGATGGCGTGAGCCTGGAGGCAGAGGTTGCAGTGAGCTGAGATGACGCCACTGTATTTTAGCCTTCGTGACACAGCCAGACCCTGTCACAAAAAAAAAAAAAAAAAAAGGAACATTGAGGAGGTCACTGTGGGTAGAAGAAATGAGAGAGGGAGAAATGGGGGGACCTGATGTTGCAGATGTGTCTGAGTCAGATCATGAAGGGCTTGGAGACTGTTGGAGCATATTTTAAGGAAGATGGGAGTCTTCTGCAGGCCATTAGGGTCCTTTCTTATCATATATTACATTCCCCCCCAATTTTATATCATTATAAACAATACTATAATGAAGGCTACCACATGCCTCTGTAATGTTTTGATAGAATGAAGTTCTAGAAGTTCAACTTTTAGGTCACAAGATATGTATACTTAAATTTTTGATAGACGAAGCTTAATTATCTTCCAAAACAGTTGTTTTATCTTTTTTTGAGATGGAGTTTTGCTCTTCTTGCCTATGCTGGAGTGCAATGGTGCAGCCTCAGCTCACTGCAACCTCTGCCTCCTGGGTTTTAGCAATTCTTCTGCCTCAGCCTCCCAAGTAGCTGGGATTACAGGTGTGCACCACCACGCCTTGCTAATTTTGTATTTGTAGTAGAGATGGGGTTTTTCCACATTGGTCAGGCTGTTCTCAAACTCCCAACCTCAGGTGATCCACTGAGGCTCCCAAAGTGCTGGGATTATAGGCATGAGCCACTGTGCCCTGCCTGTTTTATCTTACACTCTAAATGACAATATACGAGAATGACCATTTCTCTTTCAACAATGGATATTATTAGTATTTTAGTCTTTGTCAGACAGGTAAAAGTTGGCATCTGTTATTCGATTTTGATTTCTTTATAGATTGGTGAGTTCGAACTTGGTTTTATGTTTTCGTGGAACATTTATATTTTTTCTATAAGTGGACTTTTTATTACTGTGTTAGATTCCTTTTTGTTATAAGTAATAGGAAACTAGATGCTTTCGTAGTCTGTAGGTGTGATGAGTGGAATTTCACACTCATGTGTGAAATGTGCGTCTCTCCAGCCTTGTTAGGTTGTTGGACATGATCTTCTGACATGAAAAGAAAAAAGAAAAGCTTTTAAATAAAGGAAAAAAAATAGGAAATAGGAAACCACTGACTAGCTTAAACAGAAACATGAAACTTACGGGAAGAATACAGTGAGAATGGAAGGATACGAGGAGGATGGAAAAATAACCAAATAAACTGGTTATTTTCTGGAGTCTAAAGTGGTGGTAAACAGCTAAGCCCCAGGGAAAGGGAAAGCCAGGCCAGCCCTTAGGCCTCAGCAGCAGGGATTAGTGAACGAACCTTTTCTTTGTGATTCAACCCCGCACTCCCAGATTCTTCATTTATTAGTTTAAAATTCCAAATGACTAGGGTTCACACGGAGCTGGATCAGCTTCTGTTAGAGTTCTGGGGTTACATAGTACAGGATTGGGTGCTGGGGGCCTATTCCTATGTGGTATTTTCCTGAGAAAACTTTATTGGGAGCAGACACATCATGTATCTGCTGTTTCTTTTTAAAATTAGTTTGTTCACTTTTTTTTTTTTTTTTTT